GGCTCCTTGGTTCAATTCTGAGTTACGTACTTTAAAGCAGCATCTAGAAACCAGGAGAGAAAATGGCGCTCTACTAATCAATCAATCAATCAAACTTTATTTTTAGAGCTCTTTCCAGCAGCCAAAAGTTGCACAAAGTGCTGCACAGTACAGAAGTTAAAAACAAACAAGAATAAAAAATCAGTCAGTTAAAAACAAAAACAATTACAATTAAAACATAGCAAAATTGTCAAAGACCTACTAGGTATTAAAAGCCTGCCTGAATAAAAAGGTTTTAAGATTAGATTTAAAATGCTCCATGTCAGTGATGGAGCGCAAGTCCTGAGGTAGCTGGTTCCAGAGTCTGGGTGCGACAACCGAAAAGGCCGGGTCACCCCATCGTTTGTAGTTGGATTTTGGGACAGAGAATAGAAATGTATTAGATTATCTCAGTGTTCTCCTATATTCACGGACAGCTACAAGATCAGTCAAATATAGTGGGGCAAGACCATTGAGAGCTTTAAAAGTGAATAATAAAATTTTAAATTTAATTCTAAAATCGACTGAAAGCCAGTGGAGAGAAAATAAAACAGGGGTGATGTGCTCACCCCTGCTCACTAATGTTGAAGAATTTTATTTAACTTGGAAAGATAGTCTGCTAACATATAAAAAAGCTCTCCATAAAGCTAGAACTTTATCTTACTCATCTTTAATAGAGGAGAATAAAAATAACCCTAGGTTTCTGTTTAGTACTATTGCTAGACTAATTAAAAGTCCCATCTCTGTTGAACCATGTTTCCCTACAACTATAAGTAGTGATGACTTCATGAGATTCTTTATAAATAAAATTATTTCAATTAGAGAGAAAATTCAAACCATCCTTCCTTCTACTATCTCTAGTCCCCTGTCAAATGAGGCAACTTTAAAAATTTCACTAGAGCCTGATTTATGTTTGGACAGTTTTTGTCCTGTTGAGCTCTGAATTGTCAAAAATAATAACCTCATCCAAACCATCCACATGCCTGCTAGATCCCATCCCAACCAGACTGTTTAAAGAGGTATTTCCACTAATTAATGTCCACATTTTGGATCTACTTAATTTGTCTTTAATGGATGGTTATGTACCACAGAGCTTTAAGGTTGCTGTAATTAAACCTTTACTTAAGAAGTCTGATCTGGATTCAGAAATTCTGGCCAACTATAGACCTATATCTAATCTAACTTTCATCTCAAAAATTCTAGAGAAAATAGTTGCAGGTCAGTTGCGTGAACATCTACAAAGAAATAATCTGTTTGAAGAGTTTCAGTCAGGGTTTAGAGTTCATCATAGCACAGAAACAGCACTAGTAACATCAATAATGATATTCTCATGGCCTCAGACAATGGACTTGTGTCTATACTGGTCCTGTTAGACCTCAGTGCTGCATTTGATACAGTTGATCATAATATTTTACTACAGAGGCTTGAGTGTGATTTTGGGATTACAGGAACAGCTCTAAATTGGTTTAAATCATATCTATCCGATAGATTCCAGTTTGTAAATGTAAATAATAAATCTTCTTCATACACCAAAGTTAGTCATGGAGTTCCTCAGGGCTCAGTGCTTGTGCCAATACTCTTTACTTTATATATGCTTCCATTAGGTAAAATTATTAAGCAGCATGGGATAAATTTCCATTGTTATGCTGATGACACACAGTTATATTTGTCCATTAAACCCAATGAATCCGTTCAGCTACTTAGACTACAAGCATGTCTTAAAGACATAAAAACCTGGATTACCATTCATTTTCTCCTGTTGAACACAGACAAGACTGAGGGTTTGGTTTTTGGATCTGAGCACTATAGGAATGAATTTTTCAGTCTTTTTCCCTCCTTAGATGCATTAATCTGTCCTCCTGCTCTAATGTTAAAAATCTTGGTGTTATTTTTGATCAGGACATGTCTTTTATCTCCCACATTAAAAACGTTGCTAGAACCACCTTCTTCCACTTGTGTAATATCACTAAAATTAGAAACATCTGATCTAAAAATGATGCCGAAAAACTGGTCCATGCATTTGTCACGTCTAGACTGGACTATTGCAATGATTTATTATCTGGGTGTTCAAATACTTCTTTAAAACGTCTTCAGTTGATCCAAAATGCTGCTGCCAGAGTCTTAACTTAAGTTAGTGGGAAAGAGCATATCTCTCCAGTTTTAGTTTATCTCCATTGGCTCCCTGTCAAATCCAGAATATAACTTCTAACCTACAAAAGCTCTTAACAACCTGGCTCCATCTTTAGGGCTGAGTACCGAACCGAGGTTGTTTTATGGCACCGATAGAACTGCACCGGTCGTTGAATGTATTGAAACTTCACTCTTTTTTCGGTGTCAAGTTTCGGTATTGGCTGTAAGGTGTCATGTGTTTTCAGCACGCAGGCATGTAAAACACCAGACATATAACAAACAGACTACGTGTTGACACCCAGAGCTGTATAGAGCTGCCACACCTAATCTATGTATAATTATGTCTATGGTGCTGGTGACGCCCACAGACGGGTTTCACGTGTGCAGCGTGTGTTGTCGAATGGCTCCGACAACACACGCTCAGAAAGTTGCTCCATGTTTCTCTGCTATAAGAGAGACCTACAGCAGCTTCCTCCCCCCCTCCTCCTCTCAGCGTTAGTCAGTCTCTGTGTGTGTTAAACGGACTGAATCAACATTCCACAGCCGGACTCATCTTCATCAAAGAACTCCCAAGGATGGATCTGTGTCTCTGTTTCAGCTGGTGAGTTTACGTTTGTTAACCTGACTGACCTGACTGAAAAATGTTGGATTTTATACCTCGATTATTGAGCATAGACTTTGTTACGTTTGTTATTGTTACTGTAGCTTAACACATACATCGCGGTGAAATAACGCTAACTTTAAGATATTAGTGTGTAAATTTATTTTATCTACGTGGCTAGCTAAACTCAGAAGCTAACTATAGACTGACAGTAACATAAATCTTAGCTTGTAAAAATGTGCTCATCCATCCAGTCAGCTGCTTAAACATTTCACTAATGTTCACTGTTTATGTTCATGTTCTCCTCACAGGAGGTTCTGACCCAGATGTGAGGACAGAAAGAAAAGCGAGGTGGGGGCCACAGGACAATCAGACTTTGTTGTTAAAAGTTTGCTGCTTTTTTTCTACAATGGAGGTAAGTTAAGCTGTAAAAGATGTTGTTGACCAGTTAAACTTTTATCTCTCAGCCTAGATAATGTTTTTTGATCAATTATAACACAACCATGTTATTGTTGATGTTTTGTTTTCTAATGTCAGGATTTATCAAAAAGGTAAGTCTTAAGTCTAGTTTTAAAACTGGATAATGTGTCAGCCTCACGGACAGAGATTGGAAGTTGGTTCCACAAGAGAGGAGCCTGATAACTGAAAGATCTGCCTCCCATTCTGTTTTTTTAAATTCTAGGAACCACAAGTAAACCTGCAGTCTGAGAGCAAATTGCTCTGTTAGGAAAATATGAAACAATAAGATCTGTAATATAAGATGGATAGGGCTGAGTACCTTTCTAAAAAAAAATCGGTATTGGTGTCGGTACCTTCACTTCGGTGTCGGTTCCTGGACGGTTCTTTTTTCGGTACCAATTTTGTAATTACTATTAATTCTAACAAGAATAAAATTACGTTACACATTACAGTACAAATTGTGAGTTTTATTTTTTAACTTTGGTATTTTTCTATTCCAAACAGTTTTCTTACATTAAAACAAACAAATAATTTCCAGTTCAAAAGACCAGTTTCAAACCAGTGACATGTCCGTGTCTAATGTTCACTGCTGCACACTGAGGATCTTTTCACTGAACAGTTTGTCTTCAGAAACATCAACATGTCTGTTTTCTCTGGACACAAACAAGATGCTCCTGACTGATGGTGTCTCCAGCAGTAGAACATGTTCACTCTGAGGCTGTAGATGATGCTTGTTGTACACACTGATACCTGGTTGTCAGTTTGACATATTGTCCCTCACATTCCACCAGCAGGTCACTGGATTCACTGAGGTTAGGGTTGATGCAGACTTCTGCACCTCTGTGTCTCTGCCTGAATCTTCTCTGTGGTTCTCTGGGGTTTAGGGCTCTGATCATCTTCCTAACTATAGTTAGGATCGGCTTGGGTTTCCTGAGCTGTCCTTTAATTATGCTGCTATAGGCTTAGACTGCTGGAGGACAACCTGACCACATTTTTTCACTCTGCTACTGTCTTTACTTACTCTGCTCAACCTGTTTTGTATTTGTAATTATTTTTTCTATCCTTAACATGTTTTTGTCTTTCAGGTACACCTGGACCTATATCTGGACCTGGACCTATACCTGGACCTACCATTCTGTGTTTGTCTGTCTTTCCTTCCTGTCCTCTCAACCATCCGGTCAAAGCAGATGGTCTCTTGTCCTGAGCTGGTTCTGCTGGAGGTTTCTTCCTGTTAAAGGGAGTTTTTCTTTCCACTGTCTCCACTGTGCTTGCTCAGGATGGGAGACTGCAACGAAGCCAAGATTCAACTTGTCTGCTGGATTCTTAGATAGAGAACTTTACTAACTGGCTTTTATGTGAATGTTCCTGTAAAGTGTCCTGAGACAACTTTGTTGTGATTTGGTGCTTTATAAATAAACTGAATTGAATTCAATTGACTAATTCTGCAAAGCAACATGTCAAGTTAATTTTGTCAAATGAATAACTATGATTTCAATTTTTTTTTTGTTATATCACGAAATTTATCATTATCGTCGGAATGCTCTGAAATATCTCAATATTATATTTGAGCCATATCGCCCACCCCTACTGTACATGCATATTCTTGTTGTATCTCGGTGCACTGATAATAAAGCTTATTATGATTCTGATAAATCCTTATAAGTACTGTCCACAGTACTATTTTGTCAAGCAAGCTTTTCCTTTAGGCTGACATTTATTGTTGGTCAAAGACTAGTAGGTTTTTTGCTTTTGTACCTGCCTAAAAGCTTTTGTTCTGGTTGCTTTCCTTTAGACCATGAATCAGCTTTTGGAGAAGATGAAGCAGGGTGAACACGTGTTTGATGTGAATGCTGACCCAGAGCCTGAACCAAAGGAAGATGGTTGCCCTGACTTTGATGCAGATTATGAGGAGGGATCAGCCGACTATGAAGAGGAGTCTAAGGAGCACAAAGAGGGCTGTGAAGGTTCTGGATCTGGCAAAGGAAGGTAATGTTGAGGATTACGCCTCTGCCTACAGGCTGAGAGTGAATAAACAGCAAATTATGTCTTTGGAGGTGCAAGTGTTATGGTGTAAACAATGAAAAGAGATTGGTTTGTTGATGCCGCAACATTTAATTAAAGATCTGCAACAAAAATAGTTCAGTTCAGTGGTACAGTCGCTACACAGCGCTCATATACGTCTTTAATTTTACAAACAGTCATCTTTTTGTCTGATATGATATTTCCCTGAGAACTCTGTTTCTCCCTCGGGCTCTTTGTCATTGGTGGAGCAATAGTAAGCCCTACTGGCAAATTGACAGTTGATACTGAACAATCAAATTAAATATAATCAATAAATAATAATAAATTCAAATTGTTCAGCAACATTTTAAGTCAGGAGTGTTATATACAGGTCCTTCTCAAAAAATTGGCATATTGTGATAAAGGTCATTATTTTCCATAATGTAATGATAAAAATGAAACTTTCATATATTTCAGATTCATTGCACACCAACTGAAATATTTCAGGTCTTTAATTGTTTTAATACTGATGATTATGGCATACAGCTCATGAAAACCCAAAATGCCTGTCCCAAAAAATTAGCATATCATGAAAAGGTTCTCTAAACAAGCTATTAACCTAACCATCTGAATCAACGACGTAACTCTAAACACCTACAAAAGATTCCTGAGGCTTTTAAAAACTCCCAGCCTTGTTAATTACTCAAAACCGCAATCATGGGTAAGACTGTCGACCTGACTGCTGTCCAGAAGGCCATCATTGACACCCTCAAGCAAGAGGGTAAGACACAGAAGGAAACTGCTGAACGAATAGTCTGTTCCCAGAGTGCTGTATCAAGGCACCTCAGTGGGAAGTCTGTGGGAAGGGAAAAGTGTGGCAGAAAACGCTGCACAACGAGAAGAGGTGACCGGACCCTGAGGAGGATTGTGGAGAAGGGCCGATTCCAGACCTTGGGGGACCTGCGGAAGCAGTGGACTGAGTCTGGAGTAGAAACATCCAGAGCCACCGTGCACAGGCGTGTGCAGGAAATGGGCTACAGGTGCCACATTCCCCAGGTCAAGCCACTTTTGAACCAGAAACAGCGGCAGAAGCGCCTGACCTGGGCTACAGAGAAGCAGCACTGGACTGTTGCTCAGTGGTCCAAAGTACTTTTTTCGGATGAAAGCAAATTTTGCATGACATTCGGAAATCAAGGTGCCAGAGTCTGGAGGAAGACTGGGGAGAAGGAAATGCCAAAATGCCAGAAGTCCAGTGTGAAGCACCCACAGTCAGTGATGGTCTGGGGTGCCATGTCAGCTGCTGGTGTTGGTCCACTGTGTTTTATCAAGGGCAGGGTCAATGCAGCAGCTATCAGGAGATTTTGGAGCACTTCATGCTTCCATCTGCTGAAAAGCTTTATGGAGATGAAGATTTCATTTTTCAGCATGACCTGGCACCTGCTCACAGTGCCAAAACCAGTGGTAACTGGTTTACTGACCATGGTATTACTGTGCTCAATTGGCCTGCCAACTCTCCTGACCTGAACCCCATAGAGAACCTGTGGGATATTGTGAAGAGAAAGTTGAGAGACACAAGACCCAACACTCTGGATGAGCTTAAGGCCGCTATCGAAGCATCCTGGGCCTCCATAACACCTCAGCAGTGCCACAGGATGATTGCCTCCATGCCACGCCGCATTGAAGCAGTCATTCATGCAAAAGGATTCCCGACCAAGTATTGAGTGCATAACTGAACATGATTATTTGAAGGTTGGTGTTTTTTGTATTAAAAACACTTGTCTTTCATTGGTGGGATGAAATATGCTAATTTTTAGGGACAGGCATTTTGGGTTTTTATGAGCTGTATGCCATAATCATCAGTATTAAAACAGTTAAAGACCTGAAATATTTTAGTTGGTGTGCAATGAATCTGAAATATATGAAAGTTTCATTTTTATCATTACATTATGGAAAATAATGACCTTTATCACAATATGCTAATTTTTTGAGAAGGACCTGTACTACACTTTGACCCACAAAACAAAAATGAATAAAACAATTTGCTGATTTTTTAAAATCAAAATGAGGAAGTCAGGATCAATGGCTACAATGAGCACGTTTTACAGTGCACGTCTTTTTGAAGCGCAGTTTGAAACATGATCCTGCAGCTCTCAGCTCCTGCTCAATGTTTAGCTGGACCTGGACCTGGACCTGGACCTGGACCTGGACCTGGTCTTCAGAGCAGCAGAGAAGTCGCAGAGAGCGCAAGAGTGAGCGAGCGTGTTGGGGGGTCCAGTGGAACATGCTCACGAGAAGAACCTGACAAGTTGTTTAATGACATAAAATATATTTTGTTAGTAAAGAATAGAGTCCTAACATTTGTTAAACATCTGTTTTTGTAACAAATTAAAAAAAACATCAAACTTGTGCTTTGACAGTCGATAAAACTAAAAAAATGTTGTCAACGTGAAAGAAGAAAGAGGAGCAGGTGTCGCTCTCGCTTTCACTTTATACTCTTTGTTGCTGCGGGTGAAGTGGGTCCAGAGCGGAGGACTAGTTAGCAAAGAATAGAGTCCTAACATTTATTAAACATTACTTCTGTATTAAAAAACACAAAAATTGTTCTTTGACAAACTATAAAAAATTGTTAACGTGAAATCGGAAGAGGGGAAGTAACGCTCTCGCTTTGAGTTTATTCTCTGTCGCTTGTGTGCTGCGGGTGACAAGTGTCCAGAGCGTCACCAGCTGAGGAGGTGTCGGAGTTTCTCAGCAGCAGAGGGGAGCGACACGTTCAAGCACGGCTCCCCAAATGACAAGACAGACATATTTGTTCATAACTTTATTATTAGTGAGTCTGGGAGTTGACGGATTTTAGCAAACAGTTGCCGAACGCACCCTGACACAATGAGAATGGTGCAAAAAAACAACTACTCCCTGCCGCAAAATGTTCCCCGGGGTCACATGCACCCCCTCTGGCATTGCTCTGTGCCCCCAGAGGGGCGCGCCCCACTATTTGAGAAGGACTGCCATAATATCCTGATGCATGCTCAATAATCCAGGTAGAAAAATCTAAAAAAAGTTAAATCTGGTCCTCTGGACATTCAAAAAGCA